TCCACTCTCATTAACGTTTTATTTCATTTATTACTTGTGTCTGTAACCAATTGTTTGAAGTAATCTTGTCTTGAATGTAAAAACATTGTTGCACTAATTATTCGATGACCAATTAGATACCAACCGGAAATGAAAGTCGATAATGATCGATGGGCAAAAACAAAGCAACTGCGGAATCTATAAACGCATGACCACCTCTTGTTATCTAATTTATGCAATTTTATTTGCCGTAAAAACAATGTTGAGAATTTATTCCAAGAGCTCCAATTATTCGTGAAAACCAGAATATTATATCAGTAATCCCAAGACTAGTTATCGACACACACCTTTCTATCCTAAGTTAATCTTCTCAGGAAACTAAAGCATCCTAGATCTTTAACTACTTGTGGACAGCAATTTGATGTAGGTCTTCTCCAAGCCTCGAAAGGTGTCCTAATATACTAGTCCTGATTTTCCTTATTAACTTCTATATCTCCCCATTTCCAACCTCCTTCATACACGGTATTTTCATCATCCTTCTATAACACTACGTCTTCGACAGCTTAATCCCCTCCCCTGTGCCTCTACCTCACTATAAAACTAGGGATGGCGTTCCAGGTAAAATGTAAATTGTTCGTAAGGAGTAGAAATGTAGGAATCAATAGAAATCAATAGAAATCAATGAAGGGATGGAGTTTTGTTATTGCACAAACTAACGCTAAGGTCCATGACATTCTGAACTATCTTTAATTGAAGACCATGCGTTATTTTTTACTCTATACGCGATTTTAACCAACATCAGCGCCTGTAGGTGGTCACTTGCGACAGAGCCACGCTCAAGAGACCTCTACTGTTCTAGAATTTAATAAAAGACAATAATACATCGGAAATAGCAATCTTTCACCATTACCTATGTAATCTTCATCTCGTCGGTGTGGTGTTTCTTCCCTAATCTTCTGAAGGGACCCTATACTCACCACATTATACCGCATCAATGTAGGTCGATGGTACAGACCGCCTAGCTGGGTGGGATTGAAACATTGTAAAGTTTTTTTATTGTACCATGTCAACAAGTCTACGAGCTCTCGCAGAAAAACGTACTCGTTGATTACTTGCGATTATTCATTCACAATGATACAGTTTATTAGGTATAATAAATTAATTATTTATTGCGTAATAAATAATTGCCAGGAATGATTGTATTCGTCATAACTAATACGTATTTTAACCGACATAAATAATTTACTGTAAAAACGCACTCTGTGCCCTCGACATATACCACTTATAGGTACATAGAATTCGTCATAAAGAGAAGACCTTACAATGTTATTATACTGTTACTTTAAACATACAGATCTAGTACGCACGACAGCTGTATAACCAAATTGTTTATGGTTAATTTTACAGTCGGATTGTTACTTAATACCTTACTAGAAAATTTAATAATCCGATTCACTTGACTTTTTGGACGCTATAACACTGTCGCAATACCTTCAAAAATTGAAATGCCGAGGTTTTGAAACAAGTAAATTATTTTTTATTCGAAATTAAATCTACCAGGAATCGAAAAAAGAAACAAATTTAGACTAGCGTCTTACGCCATTCTCATCTGCGGTTATGGCGGACGACGGCCATTATGTCCGAATATTGAACCCTCTTCACTCAACTCCGACCGTGAAAGCCATAGCTTGAGGCTTTTAGAAACAATAGCTTTTTTAGGAGTTACTACGAGATTTTATTAACATTTTATTTGCTCTGTTTAATGAATACGAAATAAAACAGTGAAAGTTTAATTTAAAACAGTTTTTTAGTATTTCGTCTACGAACAATATCACTCAGACAGGCGTCTGAATAGACATTATGCATTCCCGAAGACAAAATCGTGCTACTGTTGAAGTCTTAGTAAATAAAAAATTCGTTCTAGTGTCTAGCACAGTTAGGTGTTTATTATATTGTCAACAATAGGCGTCCTCATTTCCATGGTTCTTTTTTTTTTGGGGATTATCCAGTCTCCGCTGCAGTTTGAGATCTTTCGTTTCATTTTTTGTTGTTACTGTATACTGTAGATACTGTGTTTTTGCGGTTGAACCGGATCGAATCGGTTATACTATTGCAACGTACCAAATATTTATTTATAAGCGCCTGTTTTTATAGAAAACGCAATTTACCTACTGGTATTTAATATTTGTTTACGTAAAATTATTTTATGTAAAAATTATTTAATTAGAAACACGAATACCTCATAACTTCTTACAATGTTCATAGAATATTATGAAAATACTTTTTGTTAAAAGAAAACAACAAAAAGGAGTGACAGATATTCAGGTGAAGTAGGTGAACAGCCTCTTCACCTATATTCTGGATAGTATCGAGATTTATTTCTCTTCCAAGATAACTATAATTTCAGATATAATGGCTTTTTGTTAAACAATAAATGAAGAAATTACTTGTAAAAAGTGCATAAAATTATTATATCTGCTTAAAGTTCTTTCTAATGTTTATTACTAGCCTTTGAAATGGTTTTAATATTAATTTAAAAGTCCAAGTAAAGAGCCAGGCGTGTGGCCCACGCGCCCTGCCAGCGCGAGCCAACAATGAACTTAGAGGAAAATTTTTAGGCTTAGGGTTCTCATCCGTCCCTAAATAGGACAGAGAACGTAATGAATTAACCAGTTTGTACGTCTACGTTATCGATTGTTTGTATCTACGCTAACTTTGGCAACGAAAAGAAAGTAAAAATTAAACACAAAAAGGTACTTTATTTAGGAGAAATGATCTATAGAAAAATCAGTCAAATTCAAGATAGACCAGTATATTGATTAGTTCCTAATTGTAAATTAAAGCAGACTATATTGCAGGCTTGCAGTGCCATGAGTGTTGTTTCGTCAATTTAGTTGTTACATTTATTTTTCTGCTATAGTTGTCATTATTCTTAGGCTGTTGTTAGAAATAACAATAAAAGTATTGTACCCACTGCGTTCATGCGCGACAACGGAATTAAGAAATTTAAATTTTTGAATAGCAAAAGCGAAACTTATTTTGTCATATTGCATACTTTATACCTAATTTATTTCTGTTATTAGGATTTTGAAAATAGGTAATCCAGTACAGCGTATAGAGAGCGTGCAACGTACACACATACATAAGATTTCGTAAAGTAAAAATAGTCTTTCTTTCTGATCGGAAACGTTCAGTACATACAAATTAAGTTAAGTAGTAAGTTTAAAAAAAGAGTATTAAAACACTTCTTTCGCTGCGCCTAACTGGCGTAAAGTATGTCAATTCGATTTGTGAATATAAAATAGTCATTAAAGGTTGCATTGTAGGACGACCTTCTTACTTTTTGTTCTATTCCAATCTTAGTAACTTCCTTAAACAATTTATAATATCTAAAATGTGAAGATGAAGAATATATCTCAAGTGTTTTAAATTAGCATCTAGCAAGGAGAACTTAGAGATAGCTTTAAATAAAATGGAAGCGGTACTGACGGATCAGTACTGTATGAAAATAAATAAAAGTAAAACGAAAATACTGGTATGCAAAGGAAGAAAAAGTAGGGAAAGAGCGAATATAAAGATAGGAGATGAAAAATTAGAAGAAGTGGTTGATTTTAAATAACTAGGAAGTCAGATAAGTCAGGACGGAAGGAGTAGTAGGGATATAAAGCAGAGGATAGCGCAGGGTCGTGTCGCCTTCAATAAAAAGAAGTCACTTCTATGTTCGAGAACAATTAATTTAGAAATTTGAAAAAGGTTGTTAAAGGTGGATGTTTGGAGCACGACGCTATACGGGTGCGAAACATGTACAGTGGGCGCGGCGGAAAAGAAAAGGTTAGAAGCTTTCGAAATGTGGTGTTATAGGCGGATGATGACGATAACGTAAATAGGAAAGATTAGAAATGAAGAAGTATTAGAAATAATAGGAGAACAGAGGACTCTATGGAAGTCAATAATAAATAGGCGAGATAGGTTGGTGAGACACCTTTTCAGGTATATATATATATTCGGAGACATATTGGAGGCAGAAACAGGAGTTAGGAAGGGTAGAGGTAGACCTAGATTAGTTACTGTTCGCAAATAGTTAAGGATGTGGGCTGTTCTAGTTTTAGGGAAATGCGAAGTTTAGCTCAGGATAGGAAAGAGTGGAGGTACGTGTCCAACCAGTACGTGTCCAACCAGTCTTAGGACTGACGATCTTATGATGATGATGTTTTGAATTTGAAATATGAATTTAAGCTTTTGGGAACCTTCAAGCACCATTTAAATTTTAAGGAAAATAAAGAAGATTCATTTTTGGTAACAATTTTAAAAGTTAATGTCAAGTGGTGGTTTCTGATTATTCATTATTATCTCTTACATTTCTACTAATAACGATTGCGTGCACGTTAAAAATATTGCGTGATTAAGAGTTATGAATAAGAATTTTACCAGGTAATCGATAAAAGGTTGATGACACTGGCGCCAGTTAGTTCAAAAATGTCCAGAAACCAAGACAAGTTACTTGTGCTCTTGGAAAAACTAAAAGTACGATTATTAATATATTTACTTACTCAATCATAACTATTCTTGTTTTTATAGGAGACCGATTATAACTTAACAGTCTGTATTGTTCTTTTACAACAGATCTTAAGAAGCGAAGAACAACTAAACAAAGAACAAGTAAGTTTCAAACTAAAATAGCAGTTATATCAACTTTATTCGCGCATTATAAATACAAAATAACAACATATATATATATATAACAAAAACGTTCGACATGTACTTAAAACAAGTGCTTATGTAGGTACTTCTTTGGTTGTAGCAAATCCATACTTTGAACTAGGTAGCAGATTCATACATTACTTCAATTATAACAAGAAGAAGAATATACACATTAAATCTTTTAAACAAGTTTAAGATCGAATTTTGATTCTGTTCTCGTTTTAAGAAGTCACTTTAGATATCCAGAAATTCCTTTCAGTATCAACAATCAATCATAAATTGAAACGACTAGAAAATAATATTGAATAAATAATAAAACATTAGTTTTGTTCCTCGTCGTATATTTCATCGCTTCTGTCAATTGGCGTTTGCAATCGTTGTGAAGGTTTAAAAGGTGGTTGATTGTTTCGAACTTCCATACTGTTGTCTTCTTCATCTTCTTCTCCTTTCCTTTGGAACGGATTTTGGTGATGGTTTACGGGCGACTGAAAGGCATCTAAATTTCCGTGAGTTTGATAACTTATTGTGTGATAAGGACTTAGGCGCTGCTGTTCAGCAAACTGGTATTTACTAGGTTCTTGAGGTCTATACAACGGATGTTCTGGTAGATGCAAAGGAAGCTGGAGATCCGTTTGTCCAGGTTGTATATTAGGACCAATCGGTTCAAATTCTTGATTGGGATCACCATGGGAATAACTGTATCCATGATTGCCTTGATAATGATAACCTTGACTGTGGAAATTTTGTTCTTGTAATTGTTGTTGGTACTGTTGATGCTCTTGTAATTGTTGTTGGTACTGCTGCACGTTTGGTGGTCCTAAACTCGGAGTAGGGAGATCTTGTCCCGATGGAGGAAACACTGATGGTCCAGCAGGTTCAGGGGCGGGAGGACCAGCAGGTGGAAAGTTCGACTTATTTAGAGGATTTAAACTTGGAATACCATGAAATTCAACAAACAATGGACGCTGGTCGAAGTTTGGAACTAGAGCAGGTGGAGGTACATCGGGAACCTTTGGAACAGGTTGAGGAAACGGAGCAGGAATGTGAGCTTCACCCGGTAGTGGAAAGACTCCATGTGGTAATGGTGGCGGAGCAGGAGCTGGGAATGTCACATGAGGACCTACAGGTGCTATGTGATGATGATGATGATGATGAAGGGGAGAAGGTGGTAAAACAGGTGGATGATGTATTGGTAAGGGCTGAGGAACTGGTACAGGTGCTGGAAGAACAGGTTGGTGTACCGGAACAGGTTGGTGTACCGGAACAGGTTCTTGGAAAACAGGATGAGGTGCAGGAAATGCTACAGGATGTGCAACAGGAGCTGGAGGAGGTAATACAGGTGCTGGGAATGTGGCACCCAGAGGAAGAACTCCCAAATTAGGTTTTACTACATGGTGAAATTGAGGAACAAACGCTGGTCTTGACACGGGTGTTTGGAAAACGAAATGATGATGGCTTGGTGGTTCTGGGGCTGGAATGGGAACAACAGGAGCCGGTACAGGTAGAGCAGGAGCAGGAACTGCAGGTGCTGGAGGAATTGGAACTATGGGTACAGGTGCAGGACCCACAGGTACAGCTGGCGCAGGTAGAGGTACCACTGGTTCTGGTTTGGGTGGTAACAAAGAAATAAATGGGGGCTGTACAGGTACAATTGGTAGTACAGGTTTAGGCGGCCTTACTACAGGTTTCCAACCAGAATGCACATGAACTGGTAGATATTGTCTAACTGGTACAATGGGTTTGAGATGAACTACTGGTTTTGCGTGATAGTGTACTTTCACAGGAACGGGCTTGAATACTTTATAGTGCTTTATAGGTGATTTGTACCTGACGTCCAATGGTCCGTATCCCAATAAATACTTAAATCCTGCGGGATGAACACCGACGTGTTTTCCAATGTATATGTGCGGTTGGGGACCGAAAATGGTCCGTTTGTCTTGATCCTTCGCTATGTGTTCGGTTTCCGAATCAAACGAAGGATCCAAATGATCATTGGTCTGCTGATCCAAAGTTTGCTGTTGAAATTCGACACTTAACGCACTTGAGACGAACAAAAATAGCAAAGTCACCTGAAAGCATAACCGATTTAACTTTCTGTTCAGTCCGTTATCGTAATTGTCACTCACGTGCATTTTCATTGTCAATGTTCACTTGCAAACAAAAGACGCCACTGCACAAAAGGTCGAGGTCGCCACTACTGTGGCCGAAGATGAAAGAAACACACCATTTATTTTTTCTTTGCTTTTATACAACGCTTTCTTGAGGCCGTTTAGTGCATTCAAATTAATCGGACGTTTAATATGTATGCGGCGGCCTAAGCTCGGAAGAAAGTCATACACAACGTGTGTATGAAAATGTGTTTCTCCAATTCTATTTGAAAACAAACGTGTCCGTTTTACATGCACTTTTTTGGTGGGCACCGTACCCGAAGGTGAAATTATCAATATCATATACTGAATTATTTCACTTTAGCACAAATTGGTCCAGTTTGGGAATGAAAGTGTCCTTTCTAATTGATTTATGGACCCAGTTTTTTGGAATGTTTCGTTTTTGGATTTGTTTTAGGTAGTTTTATAGAGAGTGCAGCAAATAACGACAGGGGTTTTTTGCCATACAGTTTCTTTACACAATTCGAAATTTATACAAAGTCTGTAGGGTATTGCAAACAAAACAATCAGTTTATAATACTTTCACTTGTATATTTATGAGATAAAATTAAATGTAGCATTCCAACACTCAACTCATCAATTTGGACATTAAAATGAGTTTATGGTAAATGCAGAACAAAGTTACCTTTATAATCGTTCTCAGTACTCTTTTATTCTTGAATTCCAAAAATGTACGGATAAAATATTGAATTGAACTGAATTATAATCTACAATAACTGAAGCAAAGAATGAAATTTTCATTTTATTTCAATGAAAATTTCACCAAATATTTAGTTTATGTCGCGAGCCATTAGTTTTTGCGATAAAATTATTTACATCTCGGGTAATTTTCCAAAAGTAGCAACTTTTAATGTAGCTCTCGGGAAAAAGTACATATTGGTTGTTCATTTGTTAATTTTATAAAATTTGGATTATTATTTAGATTTGCCTTTGGAATACAATGCAGGTTTTTGATAATGTAATTCTTATCCTTTTGGATAACTGTAGTAGGTCAGTACGCACTTCGGGATCTATTTTATCGAGGAAAGGCTGTTACAAGGTATGCACTTGTGTTCTTGCAGAAAGATTTGAAGTACGAGGGTGGATTGATAAGTTTCCGGCCTAACCAAGAGATGACGCCACTAGGCCTACCTTGAGGTGACATTCTATAGTACCATCCTTGGATAGCTTGTAGCTATAGTTTCAGCCCGATCTCCTTGCTAGTGTAGGTTTGACAGCACG